CATCTTAAAGCTAAAAAGGAGTTCTGATCTGGTCTCCTTTGGCCCTGGATACCCACATTTTAAAGAAAACCCATGAGATGATGCCCAGGGTTTCCTGGGCCTTCCTGGTTGCTGGGACTGCCTGGGAATTGTGGGTATGAAGGTAGGCTCCTCCCTCCCTCCAGAGCTGATGGGCCCTGAGGCATGGGCCAGTTACATTGGCTGGGTTTCTATTGAGCCTTCCAGGCAACACTGCTCCTAGGTGGGTATGATCCTCATTTTGTAGATAGTAAGCTGAGGGCTCCCAGAGATCAGCTTCCTGCCAGTAGTAACAGGGAAGGGCTGGACCTTCCACACTGCCTCTGTTTGACTTCCTTGTAAGGTCTGATGACTATAGGAGGTTATATGACTTCATTATCTTTATCTTAGGCCCTTGCTCTTTCTGAACTCAGTTTTATGTCATATATCTTTTATGTTCAGGAATGTCTTTTCTTTCCCACCTTTCCATCATCTCAACAACAACAACAAAATTTCCCCCCATTTCAACATTTCATCAGAGATTTTTAAAACATTCTAAAAACACAGATGAATACATATGTTCATTACCATTGTTACTCTAAGGATTCAAATGTTCATTTAATTTGGCAGCAAAGTGCAGAACTTTTTTTTCAGTATGTAGAAAATGCCTTGTAGTGCGGCCAGAATGCTTCCAAATGCTCGTGCAGGCGGAATGGAGCGCTGGGGGCCTTTGCAGGTGGGCTCGGCCCCCATCATGGGGTCACCGACACTGACAACCGGAGAATCTGAGGGGGCAGAGCAGTGCACACAGTGTGCTCCACCCACTAGAAAATGTTTTGACTAAGTTGAGTTAATCATGTGGCTTAGTCCCTGCCTATCATCTTCATTTGCAAGGCCCTTCTCTTGAATGTATGACGGTGTGTCTGTCTTTTCCCTCTGGCATTTCAATGTACCTTTTTTGTTTGTGTGCTTACAAAATACGTACTGCTGTTTTGTGTGCATGCATTTTTAATTTATGCAAATAGTATTGATTACAAACATCATTTTCTTATTTTTACCCTAGCACTAGGTTTTTAAGCTCTATCCTCATTGCTATATGTGTGATACGAAGGTCTCCCTGAGGGTAGGTGTTCCCATCCTCTTTGCCTCTGCCTCCTTCAGCTCTCTGCACCACAGCACTTGCTGCAGAGAACAGCCTTCTGGGTGGCCCACCACAGACATGGGGATGCTTTCCCTGGGACCTGCACGTACTCTGGAGGGGAATTTCCTGGTCACAGGGGGTGCTTATTCGTATCTTGAGGACCTGTTCTCCAAATGGCTGAACTGGTCAGCTTCCCACTTGGGTAATACACGTTCTAGTTTGTAAATATTCTATGGGTGCTTGAAAAGAATGTGAGTTCTGTTTTTCTTTTGCAGGGGAGCAGGGTGTAGAGTGGGAGGACTTAGAATCATAAATGTATATAATAGCTCACTCTCATTAATTCTATTGTTTAGATCCTTGATATCTCTGCTCCTTTTTTGTTCTCTTGATGTATCAGTTTCTGAGGTTTTGGTCGAGTGTTAGCTGCAATGACTGGTTTGTTTATTATTCCCTACAGTTCAGCCAATTGTTGCTTGATGTATTTTGAGGCTGATTGTTTAGTACATCTGTGTTTAGAATTATTACGTACTCTTGCCTTATTGCTTGTTTACACCATTCTTTGTTCTTTACCTTTTTTTTGTCTCAGATTTCACTTTTCAAGCTATTATAGTTGACACCCTAGCTTTCTTTTTGTCCATACGGGCTTAGTATATCCTATTGCTTAGTGTATCTTAGTATATATACTTGCTTAGTATATATACTTGTATAGTATATATACTTGTTTAGTATATCTTAGTATATCTTTGTATTTAAACATTTTGTGTCTTTCTGTTTCAAACGTGTTTCTTGTAAACAGTAAATTGTTAGCTCTTTTTATAAAAGTACAACCCTTATATCTCTTCCAGTGGTAAATTTAATAGTTAACTTTTTTTGTCAATTATTGTCATATTATGACTAATTTCTGCCTTCTGTTTATTTTTTGTACTTATTATCTTTTTTGGGGGTGACTTTCTAGAATGCTTTTCTCATTTCTATTGGAAAGATAATTTTTTTCTGGTTCAAAACTGATATTTCTCATTTTGTTCTCATGGTGGTTGCCCTTATCACCCACGTCTGTTCCTCCCTGTGGGCTTTTTAAACTTATCAACTTGTACAAGCTAAGCATTTCAACAGGCTCTCCAGCGTCTTTTGTCTCTCTTCCCCTTCCAGCCATGATGCAACATTCCAGTTCTAGGTGGTTATAGGTATATTTCTTCTATTTCCCTCCTTTGGTCCTAATAAACAACAAGCATTACCAAAGTATTTGATCACCTACAGTATTCTTGAGTTTCTTGTAGCATTTCCTAGATTCATTTTCTTCTTATTTGTAGTTTTCTCAGTGCTGGGCTCTGTGGGTGAATCTTTGGAGGTCTTTTTATGCCTGAGTACACTTTGGTTATTCTCTTAAATGCCTTTTGTATGTGCAATGGAATTCCTCTAGGATTGCAAGATTGAATCATCTTGTCTTAGTTTCTAAGACTCTGGTTAGGAGCCTTGTAATTGTCCTCTTTTCTTCCCACCAAACTGGCTGGTCAAGGTTGTGCTGGTAAGCTGTCTATCTGGGGAAAGAGCTCAGATCTGTAGTTTGCCAATTACTGTGGTGTAAAGACTCCCACCATGGCCAATTTCAAGCTATGCACATGATGTCACTGATGTGGCCTTGGGAGAGATGTGCTCATGTGCCAGGTCAGTTCTCAGGAGCTGGCGTGAGCTGCCTCCTTCTTTCTTTTGTTGGTGCCTAATTGAAGTCCTGGAATAGACCCCTGTGGTCACTGTACATTTTCTCCAGTGAAATTATTTCATCCTGTCTATTTCTTCCTTGCTTGTTATCCTAGGCCAACTCAATTTGCTTTATAGGTGAGGATATTGAAATACTTAGAAGAGCTAAAGGGATTTGTTAGTGGCCAATAATCAGAAAGGCATGCACACAGAGGTTTCCTGTTCTTAATAAAACCAGATTATAACACTTTCTTGGAAAATGCATAAAAAGTGGTATTTTAATAGTTCTATGTCATCACTTAGAGGTTCTGGGGCAGCAGAGTGAGCTGTGAGCATAAACAGCCTTCTGGTGAAATTTTTGGATGCTTAATCCTCAGAGAGCCGTAACTCCATCGTCATTAAAATACAGCCTGAGACCTTCTTGGCCTCAAGGTGTGACCGCAAACTCAGAAGCAGCCCCTGGAGGGTGACTCTTTCCCCTTTCCTATGTGGGAGATTTGTTTGCAGCAAGAAGTGTTCCATTTTCCTGGACAAGTCATAACTGGCTAGATACAGTCTGGGAGAGAAACCAGCAGCCTAGCACGCTTGGGCTGGCAGAACATGGCCGGGTTCTCAGGGCAGGCAGAGAGGAGAAAAGGTAAATGTGGATTCCAGCTTTTCCTAAGTAATGGGTTGTAGTCAAATGGAATTCTTCCCTTAGAGCTGCATTTATAGAGGGCCTGTCCCCTCCCCTTGCCTCCTCCCTACATTCCCCATCCCAGGTCCTCACCTCATCATGCTAACCTGGAAGTGTGTGAGATGGGGGCAGTCCCACAGAGGCGCTGTAAGAGCTTCACCCACGCTCCCCTGGGGGAGGGTGGCAAGCTCGAGCCTGCTGGCTTCCCACAAATGGGTCCTGTGCTTGGGGGGCTCTGAGAGTGTTACAACTGAAGTAATTAAATAACAAAAGGGTTTGGATTTGTAAATTTGGGGGCACAAGGCTAAAAGATTATGCCTTAACAAGTGAGATGGGTTGCTAACAACTTGTACTTCAACGCAAACAAAAAACCAACCACTGTCCTTTCTGTATAATTCTCTTTGCGAACAAACCAAAACCTCTCATGAGAATTTTTCACCCATTCTCCTCTTTTCAGACACAGGCTTGACTGTGGAAAATCCCTCAAATGGGCAATGTGTGAATAACAAAGGCAAGCTGTGTTTTAAGAAAACCCTGATACCAACTTGCAAACTTAACAGTTTAATGAGAGTGTGTTTACATCTATTACAAAAGGAAACACATTTGTTAAAATATGATTTGAAATTTGAAAAAGATCAGTTTTCATCTTATGACATTTCCAGAAATATTTCTATTATGTGAAGAAAGACACGTTGGCATTTCCAGTGAATTAGGCTCCTAACCCCAAGTCTGGAGAACATCTCATGATTCAAGAATAAATCTCCATAGATCGTTAAAATAGTTCTGCCCCGTCCCCAAACCCTTCCATCTCTCACTTAACTCAAAGTGAGATTACTTATTGGTCATGCTGATTTTGTCAGTTTACAGGGGAGAGAAATAGAGAGAAAGAGAGAGAGAGAGAGAGAGAGAGAGAGAGAGAGAGAGACAGAGATGAATCAACACTTCTAAGGTAGAAGGGATGACTGAGTTCCTCCATGTCATGAAACCAATAAGAAACTGAGGCTGGGGGAGGAGATGGACTCACCCAGGGTGGTAGAGTTCATTTGTGTCAGAGCTGGGGCAGAACCAGCCCTTGCCTTCTAGTCTAATGCATTTTCCCTGACACCACATTGCTGCATTGGATGACTGAGTTGGATGACCATGTCACCATCCTCTGTCCTCTTCTTGGTGAGTTCTCTTTAGGGATGTGGCTTATTTTGCCAGAAAAGGGACTATTCCCATTAAAGGAAGCTCTTATGGAATGAGCTGCACAAAGTCTAAACTAACCCTACCTTTGATAAGTGCTGTGTTTCTCAGAATGGAAAGGTTCCTGAATGGTGACCACACAATTTCTCCCTGTGCTTGGGAATAAGTGAGGCTAGGCTTGCTTTGGGGTTGGGGGCAGAATCATAGAACAGACAGAAAGAGAGGTTAACTGGCCTTCAGCCTGGGTACATGCATGTTGTGCTAAAGGCTCAATTTGCAGTGACATGTTTTGGAAAAGGCAATTTAGGAGACATCATAGGCCTGGTACTTTGTTATGGTTGATGGTCTTCTGTTTTTCTCCTGGGACAGATAATACATGCGGTTGGCCTCTGGGTAGGTGACTTTGCTGAGTGGAAGCTTGTAGATGGCGGGGTTGTTGGTTGTCAGAAGCAGGAAGGTTAGTGCAGAGAGGCAGAAGGGCCAAGTGCAGGGTGGTAGTCCAAACTGGGAAGAAGGAAGAACACAAGAGGAACCTTGGTTACATCAGATGCTTGTGCCCATTTCATCAGCCATTACCGACCACCTCCAGTCCTGGGTAGAGGAAGGGATGCTTTGTGGGCATTGATAGGACTAATACTGAATTGATGACCAATAGAAAGAAAACCATGCCAGTGGTATCAGTCGGCAGTGTTACAGGTGAACACACACACTTTAAAATGCAGCTATTTGAACCCAATTATAATATACCTTTATATAGGAGACATGTTTTGTTTGGGTTACCTGGCCATCCTATATCTCCAACTTAAGAAACTGTGGCCATTCCTGCCTTCTCCTATTGTCCCTGTTGAAAGAATGGCTTTGACAGCCATTTTGTAGTTTAAGGCCTTTTTTCTTTAGTCACAGCTGATTGGACCAGAGACAGACGCCTGACTCAAATGCAGCTTCCTGTAGGCAGATGTTCTGGGAATAGAAGCCCTCCCTTGAGAATTTGAATGAAGAGGCACAGAGGCTGTGTCCAGAGGCTCTTGACCTGGTTGGCCACCTGGGGGCTGTGTCATCACAGAAAGACACAGGGAAATGGAGCAGACATACAGAGAGAGGCCGAGATGTGACATCCTATTCCCAGGAGCTCGAGCTGGAGAGTAGCTACCTCTCTTCTCAAGGCTCACCTATGCTCAGCTCCCCTTCTCATGGTGTTGACCTGTTTATTTATTCTTAACATTCCTTGAAGCTTTTAAATACCGTCCCCTGCTCTTTGTTTGAGATAACTGGAATGGATAGCCTGCTAACATAGAGCCTGCAGTTTCAGCTATGAGGCAGGTCAAACCATGCCACCTTTCCACTAAATACCATTTTATTGTAAGGAATACCTCAGGTAATACCAGGGTGGTAATAATACCAGTCGTGTGTATGTTCAAAGATGGCACTGTCGGAGGGGAGCTTGGAAGAGAACAATGACAGCCTTGTACTAGAACTGCAACTGTAAGGAATACCCATGGGTGATAACTCCACTCAATGAGTCTTTCCAAAGCCCTCCTAAGACTGCACCAGGTATTTGGGGGAAGCATCTCCTTCAAGTTCTATGGTGGGAGGGATGTGGACTGGGAGTTCCATAGACCCAGATCCAAGTCTCAGCTCTGATCACCTTGTTGTAATCATTCTATCTTTATGAGAACTATTTCATCAATAATAAGATAGGGATAATAATATCTACTCAGAGAGCTGGTGCTTAGAGCATATGAAAGTCCTCAGTTTGGGGTTATCGTCCAAGGGTGGTATTGTTGAAGACATGGGCTGTACAGACATAGGCCAGTTAGAAAGCAAATGAGGGAAGCCCCTAAGTGCTCTCTTCTGTGGAGGGCCTGAACAGTCGCATAAATGTCACTCAACACTTGTATATCCACAAGACTGGAAATTCCTTCAGAGTGTGTTAGTAACCTGCACGTTTTTGTATCCCTGAGAGTGGTCCACACAGTGAGTTAAACAAAATAGGCACATGAAAAGTAACCTTGAATTCATTTTGAAAAATATCTAAATTGAGTGGTATAGCCTGTAACTTCTCTGCAACAGAGGAAAGGGCCAGTCACCCTGTAGATGCCTATGAACAAGAACCACAGCCTCCTGTTTCATATCCCTTCTGGTACTGTGCCTGAGGAAGGCACATGACAGGTACTTACTGGGTGGGTGATTGGGAGAATTGGGGCACAAGAACGATGGGAGCAGGCAAGAGCCTCAGAAGCTCTACTCTATCCTCCTGTCCCCCTTCAGTGTTTTGGATGGTCAGCTATTTAGTCCCAGCTCTAGTGATGGAGCTCATAACTGTAAGTTTTCATCCATTCAGCAGTTCTTGAGCACCTACTATATGCTGGACACTGTAATCTGTACTAGAGATAAAGATGAAAATGTGACTGGGTCCCTGTTCTGAAGGAGCAGGCAGGTTGAAGGGGGAACAGGACCCATGTGCTTTTCAGTTATTACAGTACTGCATGTCACATGTTGTTGCAGATGTGTGAAAAAAATTTGATGGGGGTCAGAGGAGGGACTTGGCCCAGTGAGGGACACTGGATGGTATCAGGGAGGGCTAATTCTATGCTTAGAAACTTCTTTCTCATGTCAAGTCTAATCTCACTAAGGAGGGATTTAGACAAGTGTGAGTGGAATGCCCACCTCTATCTCTATCTGAAGGACCAATGGACTTTTCCTGGTAGCCCATGGGAAGTGTGCCCTTGACCCCTTATCCAAGGTTGGGAGGCACTGACTGCAGGCTGAGCGCTAAGCACTCTGTGCTGGGCCTGGGACTCTCCCTGTGTGTGAGGGGGGCTGGGTGGCCCTGTGGTGCCTCCTAACCTCATGTACCACCTGCACTGGGGCTCATGGGAGGGGTTCTCGGGCTGCTGCATGTGCCCATAGATGTCAGCTCTAGTTTTTCTCAGACTTGACTTGGGCTTGGCTCCCGGTCTTCCCTGAAGCCTTCCCTCAGGACCCCCGACACTAGGCTAGTTACTATGGGACAAACAACTGGCCCACAAACTAGTTGGGCAGATGATCTATAAACATACAAAACATTGAATAATAAAGACTTAAAACTAGTTCTAGAGGGCAATAGACCCAAGGTTCTGTCAGAAAAGAGTTTGATTTATAAGATAATGCTCTTCAAATTGCTGGCCCACTGACAATGAGTCTGATTGAGCAACGCCTGACATTTAAACTTTTGAGGCCCAGCTTCTTATGTCCAGCAGGTGCTGAGGTGAGTAGTGGAATTTGAGACAAGAGGGATGAACTGGGGAAGGCTTCCTGGAGGAGGGGCTTTGCATTGACTTTGGGGAGACGCGAGAACACCAGGAAGGGTGTTGTGGCACATTCTTAGCTCACGTGGACTCACCACAGATAACACGTTAGCCAGGGCAGCACCCAGGTAGGCTGCAAACAGGGCTGGAACAGAACCAAGAAATAGTCGAATAATTAACAGTACCTCAACCTTCGTCTACACAGTCTCTCCCCACACAGTTTATGCCAAAAATGCTCGCTCTTAGATTACAGAAAGGTAAGTTTTGTTTCCATTGCTTGGCAGCTTAGAAAAGTGTTAAATTCCCAGCAAATGCTGGCACACCTATGGCCACAGATGAACTTTGTTAAAAAGGGCTAGAATTGAGCTGTTACGGTTCTCTTGGGTCCCACCACCTTGCATTCTAGCAAAGGAGCATTTAGTGGCATCAACCATACATGAAAATTTTACTATCCAGCCAAGAGGAGTGAATCCCAGGACTCCCTGTTGGGATATTTCATCACAATTTATGAAAATAATATGGGTTACCAGGGAGGAAGACCAAGTGTGCCGACTACCTCATCTCCCAGGCCCTGCATGGGGAGGGTACAGCCAGGCTGGCCCCTGGGAAGAGCCAAGTGCCAGCTGTTGGTGAGGTTCTGTGAAAACGGGCCAGGGTACTTGGGCTTCGCTCGTGAGTCTTCAATTTCTCAACTAAAAGCATCCCAATTGTTCCTAGGATGTTAACAACAACCCTTTGGCAGAGAGTTACTGAGTGCCCAGCTGGTAGTAATCCTGACCACATCCCACAACCTAAGCACTATGGGAAGTTCCCATGGTCAATGTTTTGGTGCTTAAGGTTCATCGCTGTATCTGATGTAAAGTGCCCAACTTCAAATACAAAAATAAATTTGCATATGAGTTGCTCTTTTGGTTAGTTCCAATCATTAGCCAGGAAGGTGGTGGTCACAGGAGAGAGAGCCCATGAATAACAACCAAACAAGTGCCATCTAAAAAGTCTGTCTTCTTCAAGTGGCTGAACACTTTGCATACAGTGAGAAAGATTTTTAATATATTCATCCCTAACCAATCATTCAAAACAGTTTAAAATAAAAACCCTTTTATAAAGCAGATGATCTTCGCTTTAATCTTTGACGGATCGGAGGATTTTCACAGGGTGGTTTTCCTTGAGGGGATGGGTCCAGTCATGTTTTTTGGTGCAAAGGGGATTCACTGGCAGTACCTACCGCAGGCAATGGCGAGGAGGTGGGTCTGCCAGGTGATGACGTAGAACATGCCCCCTATGGCGATGCAGGCAAGAGTGCTGTTGAAGCCACACAGGCCGAAGTAGATGGAGTCAAAGGGTGTTGCGAGAGTGAGAGCTGTGAGAAAAGGCAGACATCGTGCTGGGGGTGTGGGTAGGGGGTGGGAGTGGGGTCCTGAGGCCCCCCGCCAGCCCTGAAACCCACCTAATGGTCCTCAAACCCAGACTAATGATCCTCTTAGGCATTTATAAGAAGGAATTTATGATTTTATTCAGTGAAAAAACACCTACAGGAAACAAATGGCCACCAGCTCACATGCATATTAAAGGTGAAGCTGTTATGGGTAGAAGAGACCCTTTGAGAACGAACTCTGAAGTCTGATTTAAGCAGTCCAGAGATGGTCCTTCCCTGGCCAAAAAGAGGACGGCCTCTTCCTCACTGATATCTTAACGTTCTCTAACGGAGAATACATCCTTTGTATCATCATTAAATATGAGACTTAAAATATAAACACTCCTGGAAGAAACCTCTCCCAAACTTTAAATTTATACTAAGGTGTAAATGACAAACACCAAAGTTTTTCTTGAGGGCAGTTTTGCCCACAGGAGCATAAGGGCATTGGCACCCGAAATACAAAAAACATGGTACAATAAAATGAGGGAAAGTTTACAGAAATAAGTAGGTGAAGCATTGAAGACACATGTCACCATTTTCTTTGGAGTCGGTCCCAGGCACTAACATCCTCATGGCTCATTAGTAAGGGAGAAGTGAAGACACTAACCTGCTAACATCCCCATGGTGGATCCAATCGCAGCGTGCAAGCAAATAAGAGGCGAAGCTATGAACAAAGCTATGAGGAAAATGCCTCCAGTCCAGGGGTTGTCACAGCCGTACACTTGGCCGATTCCAACAGGGATGGCTCTCAAAAGCTGTAGGTATCACATGCAGAGAGACAATGTTACCCTCGGCTGGAAAAAAATTTGGCGCCAAACCCTCCCCACCAACATTTTGCAAGAGATTTCCAAGATATTTTCAAATAGATTAAATCTGACAGGAACGTGAATTTTAGTTGTTTTAATCTTGAGTTTGTAGAACAGTAAGGGGTTATAATGTTAAGTTTCCTTGGTTTAGAAACATGAGTATAAACTGAATGAAGGGAAACTGAAGACCTTTCAAGTGAGGGTATTATTTATTAGAAAAGTAGGAGATGTCCGATCAAAGTTGTGGTTTAAAAACCCTCTGGTAACATTCTTTTTAAAGATAAAAAGATGACTAGAGGGCTAAAGATGATATGGAAAAATGGCCCTTTGTGTTTCCAAGAACGACATGTCTGGGCTGGAGCCACGTGAGTCTGGTCCGGGTGAGCAAGTGGACTAGCACACACAGGGGAGCCCTGAGAAGGTGGTATCGCTGCATCTGCTTTGATGGCGAAATCATCAAATGGTGACTGATCGATGAGCACTCTGCTGGCAGCTGGCTCCCACGCATCTCATGGGCGGAGAGGTTGTCTGAGCACGACAGAGGGTTTGAGGAGGCCAGGGTCCAGGGCCTGGGGGCACTGGCACGCATGCCCTGCGTTTGGGAAAAGGATCCTGGGCATGCAGCCTTCCCCGGGGACTGGGATTGGATCCTGTGTAGTGGGAGTTTGGCCAAGGGCCCTTGAGCTGGGAAAGTGTTTAAGGGAAGAGGCTCTTGGCTATGCTGGAAGGCACTGGGGTTTGACTCACCCCCTGGGCAGGGAGCTGAGGAGAAGCAGAGGCTTGGGGCCAGAACACGTGTATCTTACGATGAGGCAGGTCTTCTGTTAGGCTGTGTCCTCTGCCCCATGGGGGTGCGTTAGACAGGAGGACGCGGCAGCGGCTCCAGGCACAGCCTCCTGTGGCCCCAGGAACAGAGGACAGAGTGGGGGCTTGGGCATCCCCAAAGTCGGGGGAAGGCAGGACAGTCGAGAATTTTATAATGAGGCAGTGGCACCAGTCAGCCTCCTGGGGGCTCTCCAGTAGCCACAAGTGCCGAGGAACTCACGGGGGCTCAAACCTGATGGGTTTTAAATCTTCTCTCTAACATTTACTACTTTGTCCCCCAAACTCAAGGCTCTCATGGGGTGATCACAAGACAAAACGTCTTCATCGTGACCATAATCCATTCAATTGTCCAGTAAGTTATTTCTAAAGAACAACCACCCCAGATGGAATTTTTCTTTCCTGGAACTTTGGGGGTTATAAAATATTTGTATAGGATTTCCAATTTTTTTTTCCCCATTTCTACAAAATTCCTAGGTAGCTTTTCCATGGAAAATGTGGCCTGGAGAGTGCAAAAGATCTTAAATTTGCCTTCTATAATATTACCATCTCCCTGTAGCACGCCAATTAGAGCGATTTTGCCTCCTGAAGACATACATGGGGTCAACACCATGAAAGGGAAGCCTCGGGAGCGAATTGCAACAAGGCACCTTTCCTCGCCGCTGGCTCACGAAGGCCCTCTCTCACGCGCACGCACACACACGCATACATTGCAAGAATGGCACTAATGCGGATATTCCTCTTCTTAAATAATGATGCTTTTTGTGCAAGTGCAGGGCTCAGTCTACTACGCCTTGCTGTTGCAGACTATGAAACGCTAGGAGAAATTAGACAACATTAGTTCCAAAAGTTCTTTCAACAAGGGCAAGTGGTTTTGTGGTTAGATGATGAATTGCCAATAACGGAGTTTCTGAGGGAGCCTGGTCGGGGGGTTGTTCAGTGTACCGGAAGGTGGGGGGCAGCAGAGAAAACGTGTCCACTTAGATAAGGAGGCTAATGGGCTCATTTCTCCAGGCTGATTGAATGCTCTTAGTGTAGCTTCTTATTAATTATCTTGGCAGCCTTCCAGAGGCCAGCATTATATACAGAATCCTTGTAAAAAACTTTAAAAGCTCTGTTATATATGCATGTTTTAATGGAGGAACACCTGTGCTTTAAAGCGAGAGCACGCCTCAGAGAGCGAGTGGAGTTAACTCTGGAGGGCGGAGCAGAGGATGCCTTCGCCGATAGATGGCGGTGTGACGCGCACGTCTTTCATGTTTCAACGAGGCTGGGTGAAAGAAAATACAAGGCGTAAACTGGATTAAAAACTGGAATAAAGCATCAAAAAGGCTTCTACAAAAAGGAAAAAAAGAAAGAACCCGGGTCTAGCAAGACAGGAGGCCAGAGTTCTAGTCTTGACGTTGCTCTTCACCAATAAGCTGCGCCTCAACCTGGCCTCCATTTCCTCCTCTGTGGAAGCGGAAATGGCTTTTCTAGCTCTTTGTTAGAAAGGAAATAAGAAAAAGACGGCGGCTAATGACAAATTGTGTGTAGAGTGTCCCTCGCTGTATAATGGTGAATAGTAGTTATTACTCGTGGATGTTTCTTATGTGCAAAATATGTCAGTGCCACTTCAACATTCAGTTTCAACACATGCTGTCTTTCCACCTTCCCCAGTACCTACCAAAGGCACTTGGATCTCCGACCAGGTGATGTTGGGCACAGAGGAGGCAGGCTGCAGCAGCGTCGTGGGGAAGAAGAGGTTGTAGTGTCCTGTGGCTGCCAGGTACAGGGTCACCGTGATGTTGAAGGGCAGCGTGAACACCGGGAGGTCCCACTTGCTGAAGATGGTGCCCAGGGCGCTGGAGAGGATGGGGCTGACGGGAGAGGCAGAGGAGATACAGTTCAAGAAGCCCTAGATGCTGACACGAGACTGAGCGGGAGCAGGGTGCTCCCTGTGCTGTCCTGGGGGAAGCAGGCTGCTGGGCACGCCACCTGCACCTGGCTGGCCCTGGGCAGCCCTTCCCCTGGGCCTCTTCCTCCCTGTCCTGGCACAGTGACAGGGCAGATGCCTAGGCTCAGCTTGAGAAGGAGCACTTCCTGGGGGAACGTCTGAAGGCAAGGAGTCACGAAACTTCCTTAAAAAGTCATATAGTTCCATGTCCAAGCACGAGGAGAGAGGACAGGTTGGGGGAGCGATGAGGCAGGGAACGGCACTCACTCAAGCAGCAGAAGTTTGTTGAGCAGCTGAGAGCACTAAGCCTCATGGCCCGAGTGCCCTGCACGCTCTGAAGGGGAAGGAGGAGCGAGGGCCTGGCATTCTGAGGGCTCTACCTGGTGCCTGGGCCTTCGGCCTACACTGGGAGGTTGTCCCAGTTTGGTCAGGAGTCCCAAGGGCAGGGGAAAGTCTGGGGGTGGGGGTGGGTGGCAGCGGGAGGAAGGAGGTTTTCAGAAACTGATGGGACCCCATGGTGTGGCTCTTAACCTATGTACCCCTCAGCTACTTTCTCTGTACCCTGGGAGGGCAGGGCCAGAAACCCTTTTAGGTCTTAGAAAAAGAAAAAGAGAAGTAAATGATGCTAGGTAACGTGATGCTGTCCCTAGGCCACCTAGCACAATGCTGACATTGCAAGACGTTAGTTATTTCCGGTGGAAGTTTCTGATGTGCCAGCTGAGTGAATGCCACTTTAACAGTGAGTTTAGACAGACAGCCATGGAGTTGGGATAAAAACACCGGCAGTCCCTGAGCTGCACCCACAGTCTCAGAAGCCCACTTACCAAGACATGGACATCATGATGACAGGGAGCAAGAGCCACCAATAATAGTCGCCTTTGTCTGAGAAGACAGCCATCAGCAGCCCCACCAGCACCCCGTTGTAGCCCTGCAGTCCTGCTGCGATGGCCGATCTGGGGGAGAGAGGAAGGCTGGGGAAGTGGGGGCTCCCCGAGGCCCAGTGGAGAGGGGCTGCCATCTCGATTTCCCTTCCGTGTCAGATTTTTCTCAGCCGGGGCTTGACAACACACACCTTCAAAGAGATGACCCCTCTTGACCATGCCCCTAGATGACACATAGCAGTTACGAAATCATCAGGGAATGGTTGTGTTTAGTTATCGGTGTCCTCATTTTGAGGCGTTTCTGAGCTGGGAGCCAAGCAGTGAGGGGATGGAAGGTGGCAATGGTCCCCACAGAGAGTGACCCCTGGCCTCCTGCTGGGACCCTGGCTCTCTTAGAACTTACTTGTCCTGACTGAGGACGAGGGCTGTCAGAGTGGACACAATGGTGCCCAAGCAGCCTGAGATGGCCCACCAGGGGTTCTGGACGAAGAGGCCGAGGACGATGAGGATGCCACTGAGGGGGTTGTTCACAAACATCACCTGAGATGTCCCCCGGAGGACCCAGTCGAGGAACTGAAACACCGGGGATTTGTCTGAAATGGAACCGGGGCAGTGAGTCAATGCTCAGGTATGGCGGCCCTGGGCCAGTCCCCAGAGGCCAAGTGGAGGGTGTGAGGGGAGGTCCACACCCAAAGTGGGTTTGCAGGGAGCCAGCCCACCGCTGTCACCTGCCACAGAAGAGGATAAACCAAGGAACCAAGAGGCCACTTGACTGCCCAGAGAACTCTTCAGGCCCACTGCTAATTGGTTGTGGTCATTAGGTTGTTTTTCTAGCAGGGGGTGCCCTGAGCTACCTGTGCCCCCATGAGAATGGCATAAATTTTCAAGAAGATGGATCCAGGAATAAAACTCTCTTGTTTCATAGAGGGTGTCAAACCCATGGCTTGAGCTCTGAGGAAGTCACTGCTCAAAGATCAAAGAGGATCTACTGGAATAGTAGACATAGTTCTCCCATGAGCCATCCATGGGACAGACAGTTTTTTCCAGAATGCTGGCTCCAGAAGCCCAGTGCTAAAATGCCTGGCTGCAGGCCTGTGAGGGGCCATCTGAGAAGCATATCCATTATGTTCAGCAATGGGAGCCTGCGCACTTACAGGGACTGGGGTTACATCCGAAGGGACTGTGAGTCTGTTCTAACAGCAACACTCCTGTCTTTGCAAGATAGAACTCAGTCTGGCTCATAGAGAACCATGGCCAAGTGTTTGCTGATGGACAACTGGAGGTGACCTTCTCACAGACCCTTTACCTTTAAGCCCCTCTCCGCACTCCTTCATCTCTCCCGTGACGTAGCTGAGGGCTTTGCTGACCCTTCTCCCGTAGGCTGCCAGGTAACCTTGGATCCAGGCTGCTCTGGAACTGCTCGAGGCTGCCTTTATCTCTGAGCTCTCCTCCATGGCGTCCAGGTCCTGCCCCGGGACAAGGCATGGGTAAGAAGCCCCCCAGCCTGTGCTTCTCATGCTGAGAAGTGGCCGAAGCTAAGATTTTCATTTGGCATTTAGTGACATTGCTATTTAATCACATCTTTGTTTCTGTAGACTAGAATATCTTTGATTTTGCTTATCACATCACCTCAGTTAAGATGAGCAACAACCTTGAAATACAACAAGGCAGTATCTTCATTCTCCTTCTCACTCATGGATGAGGGAGGGCTCAGGCATCGAGAGGTTTACTGATTGGCAGACCTCAAGGTTGAACAGTAGAATTGGGATTTAACCACAGATCTTTAGTTGTTGTTTTTTTTTTTTAAAGAAACATTACTTCCACTATACCACATGCTTTCCAGAAGAAATCATCCCTCCTCAGCATTAAAATGAGACTGCCCATAAAATTAAACATGTAAAGATTCTGTTTGTGAAAATTGGCTCTAGCTCATTTCCTAAATGCTTAAATGCTGGAGTTAGAGGAAGATGGATAATAGGAATTCAAAGAAAAGGGATATGAAACTTTATAAAGTAAACTGCAAAAAATGGACATTTTTATCCCAGGTAATTATGTTTCTGGAAACATGAATTCAAGAAAAGTTTGCTCAAACTAGAGAACGCCTTTCCCAGACCTCAGAGTCTGCAGCCACAGGCTCCGTGGCGTGGGGTGCTGCCCTAGCTCAGGCCACATGTTACTCACCAGCAACTCAACCGTGGGCTTCCGGTATTGATAGGGGAAAGGGTCTTTAGTTTGTCTCTCCTGGTGTTCGCCTTTCCCAAACACTGGAGTTGGAAGGAAAAAAACATCAATTAGGATACCTGTATCCTGGCCCTGAGCAGCAAATTTCTTGGAAGGCTGGAATGGGAATATCTCTCTTTCTTGTTCCGCTAGAGAAAGCCCAGGGCCATGGCATCTTTCAGCTGGAAGGTCCTTTTTTTTTTCTTTTACTGGTTATGAACCCATTTGGGCTTTCTTTTTAGGAAAAAAATGCATATCTTCATGTAAACATTTTACAGGAGTTTAAGGAGTCTAAAGTTTCGATCGATCTTTAGTTAACAAACTGATTTATCTCAACCTTTATATTTTTTAGATGAGGAAACACTGACTTGTCCATGATCTCCAAATCCAGGGTTCCTTCTTGTATACCACACGGACAACTTGTAGGTGTGCAAAGAAAGGAACTTGGGCACTATTGCTCATAAAGTATTAAGCTGCCTGAGCCATGCAAGATCTGCTTGCATTTGCCCATGCCTCTTCCCAGCTGGATGACCTAGGGCTGTCTGGGTCTCTTTTTTAGCCGTATGTCTTGGAATTTTAGGCATTTTAGCAGCAACGTCTAGTCGAAGTAAGAAAAGTGATATCCATGTCATTACTTGAAATGGACTTTGGCATGTCCTTGTAATTCTAAAGAACTCTCATAAAGTGGTTCTAAACATATTTTTCATTGTTACCAGATCATTTTATTTTAAAGATGGACAATTTCAGTAGGGTTTTATACATAGTAAAAGAATTTAGGGCCCTTGAAGTTTTGGTCTTGGTGCTCTGGTTCCCTCTTGTGGTCAAGTGTGAGAATGGGAGGCTGGACTGAACGCTCTGTATTTTCAGGCTGAATAGGCAGGTCGCAGTCGTGATGTGTTCCTGAGTCTTCAGAGCACTTAACCACTAGAAGGAATGCATCCAAGGCACCATGTTCCCACTCTTGAAGGGGGAGGGTTTGCAAATATCATTGTTTTGGGAAGGTACACTATGCATGAGAAACAAATTCATGTTTGGAATCTTAAAAAGGAAGAGTAGGAAACTAAGAAGATCCCTCTAGACTCTGAGGCCATCGTGTGTGACATCCCAATGGACCCACTGCTTCTGGCTGAAGCTCCCCGTGGCCTGCCAGCTCTTCAGCAATTGTGACCAAGCTCCACCTCCCAAGCTCCTTTGCACAGGGTTCTCTGCTAGGCCCACATGCAGCCCAGCTCCAAACCACTACTAGAGGAGGATGCTTGGAGGAACAGTGTTAACTTTTTCAGGCAAGCCATGCTCTCTTCCACACCATGCTCGGGGCCCAACAAAAGCAAACTCCCAGGCTAGAAGGGCCTTGACATATCTTGATGCCCTCTCCACCCTGTGTGATGGTTTTGTAACACCCCAGGCCCATTTCTCTGGGTTGGCTACTTTGGGTGGGAAAGGAGAGGCTCAGATGACCTGGAGCAAGTAAGTCACTTCTGAGAAGCAGGTGATGTAAAAAGGACAGTAGCCAGGAATCAGTTTTGTTCCTTGCAGTGCCCCTCTCCAGTTGGGTGACTCTGGGCAAGACAGCCCTCCTCTCTGGGGCTTGGGGGACAGAATTAGATGGTCTCTGCCCTGGCTTTTCACGAGGTTGCTCCAACCTTGCAGCAGGTTGGGGAGACCCTCCAGCCCCACTCCCCAACTCCTTCCTGTTTGCCACAACATGTTCTCAGCTTCTAAAGCCAAGTTTCTGGCTCCCCGACTGGCTCACTTGGGACCCCAGTCTTGGCTGTCGGGAGCGCCCTCCCCTCCCCGCCTCTCCACCTGTCCCTTTGGCCTTGGCATCTGCACCGCTGCAGCACCAAGCGCTGGTCATCTCCAGCCTCCTAGGCCAGTGGTTTGTGACCTGGCAGCAAACAGAATCTCACAGAGAGCTTTTAAAGATCCTTAAGCCCACCCAGGTTGCTCCCCAGAAGAATTAAATTAGAGCCTTCCACGAGGGGATGCAGGTCACTCCAATGGGCAGCCAAGTTGGAGACCTCCCAGCCTTGACCTGCAGAGTCCGCTGCCTGTTTAGTCTCACAGCCCAGGAGAGTCTAGACATGGGGACCTGTGGCTGAGGTCAGAGGTTGTCTGTGATAAGCCTGACCCTCGTGGCTCTCCCCACCACCCTGTGAAGTCGGTGCTGCCATTGTCCTCATTTTAGAGATGAGTAAATCAAGGACCCGAGAGTGAGGGGGAGGAAGCGCACACCTTTGCTCCTCCTCCGAATGGATGACCACTCGATGTGGAACACACTCCTGGGCTTGGGCAGCACGGCCTCTGAGCCCTCATCGGCCTTGGGGCTTGTCGTGACTGGTGGCTCCCCACCACCGCCTAGGCAGGGGCAAAACGGCACAGGTCAGTATCCCGCCCTGGTCCATACCCTGTGAGAGCCACGCAGAGTGCAGGAGAAATCACAGGCAGAAGCTGGAAAAGAAAGAGCCTTGTGGTCTGAAGCTGCAGTAGTCACTGCCTCAGTGCCTGCTAAACATCCAGCTTCTCTATTCCTCCCGTTAAAGCTTCTACCCCTTTCCCCACTGAAGCCAGGCCACAGACACCCATCAGTGTCAAGAGACCACGAGCTAGTCTGCCTACTTCTCCAGCAAGGATCTAGTCTAAGACTCCTTTCACCTGACGTTGGACTGGCCTGAGGGGTGGACCCCAGCTGACTGCCTGTATCTGTCCTTCAGCCAGCACCTCGGTTTCCATCTGTGGCAGGGAGTCTGCGTGCCAGGGGCCCCTCAATGCTGGCTGCACATTAGAATCATGTGGGTACTTTAAAACTGCCTGAACCCTACCCCAGATCAATGTAGATTAATTAAAGTCTCTAAATGCTTGTAGCATTTAGAAGATGGCTGTAGTGGGCAGCTCAAGCTGAGAACTGCTGATATAGTCCTTGCTACTCCAAGTGTGGTCCCCTGATCAGCATCATCTGGGATCTGAATAGACAGGCACTTCTCTGAGGAGGACATACAGAGGGCCCAGAGACATGAAAGGATACTCAGCATCACTAGCCATCAGAGAAATGCAAATTAAAACCGCAATGAGATACCACTTTACACCAGTCAGAATGGCCATCATAAACAAATCAACAAACAGCAAGTGCTGGAGAGGTTGTAGAGAAAAGGGAACCCTAGTGCACTGTTGGTGGGAATGTAGACTGATGGAAAACAGTTTGGAATTTCCTCAAAAGCTAAAAATGGAACTGCCTTTTGAACCAGCAAATCCACTTCTGGGATTATACCCTAAGAATCCCAAAACACCAATTCAAAAGAACCTATGCACCCCAATGTTCATAGCAGCACAATTTACAATAGCCAAGTGCTGGATGCAACCTAAGTGCCTATCAATAAATGAGTGGATCAAAAAACTGTGGTACATTTACACAATGGAGTACTACACAGTAGAAAGAAAGAGGGAATTCCTACCCTCCACAACAGCATAGATGGAACTGGAGAGCATTATGCTAAGTGAAATAAGCCAGGTGGTGAAAGACAAATACCATATGATCTCACCTATAAGTGGAACCTAATCAACAAAACAAACAAGCAAAAAAAGTATAACCAGAAACACTGAAAGAAAAAACGAACTGACAGTAACCAGAGGGGAGGAGAGAGGGGGGTAACAGGGAAAAGAAGGGGGAGGGTCAAGTCAAGGAACATGTATAAAGGACTCATGGACAAAGCCAAAGTGGGGGAGGACAGAGTGTGGGGGGTGGGTATGGGTGGGGCAGGGGAAAGTGGTGGCAGGAAAATGGAGACAACTGTACTTGAACAATGGAAAAAAAATTAAAAAAAATAAAGCTCATGGCTTCAAACATAAAAAAAGAAAAAAATGCAGAATCTCAGGTTCCACCCAGACTGATAAAATCACAATCTGTATTTCAGCCAGATTTCCTGAGTGAGGTCTGTGCACATTAAAGTGTGACAAGCACCAATCTATGGTGCAGTAACAGTCCTGAATCTGGGACCAGCTAGCTACAAGAAACCCTCTGCTGTACCTTATTTTTTTTTAAATTTGCACACATGGGGAGAGCAGAGCACTCTTGTCACATGGAACAGGATTTCTCAGAGTGTGTGGTCTGAGAACTGACAGCATCACACCAGCTTGGTGGCTTGTTAAAATGCATGCTCCCATGCCCACCCAGGTCTGTTAGTTAGAGTGTTTGTTGGTCCCCAAGCATGCAGTTTTAACACATTCTGCTTGGGGTTCCGGTGAACACCAGAGTTAGATATCTAGTGGTTGCCAGGAATAGCGGAGACATTCACACCACTGTTACGTTTGCACACTTTCTAAGTTAACTCACGTGGTCCTTTTAATAGTACCTTTAAACTGTTAGAGGGGGCAGTGTTATCTCCAAAAGATGGGAAATGAAGGCTCTGAATAATTTCTGAAGGAGCCTACAGACAGCGAGCTGTGTGACTCCCAGTCCTCAGTCCTTGCCTCTGCATCTCTGTTGCTCAGAGCCTGGTTTGTGGACCAGATTCATGGAGGTCAACGGGGGCTTGTTTGAAAGGCAGGCTCTGGGCCCTATCCCAGACTGATCAAATGGGAATCTGTTTTTGTTTTTTTTTTTTAAAATAGAGTTCTACAGCTGACTTGTGTGCCCATCAAAGTTTGAAAGCCCTGGTCTGAATCACACTGGTCACCTAGAAACGATTTTAGCAAAGCTCAGAATATATCATAGCCAATAACCAGAGAGTGTGTGGGAAATGTGTGGGCAGGACAGGGGTTTGTCTGCACTCTCAGATTGCAAGGTAAAACATGCGACCACGTCCCATCCCTCTTGGCTTAGGGTGAGGAAGAAGCTCCTGATTCAGCATCCTGGCAGTGGGTCAGCATTGAATCACGACTCCCGAGGCTGGAGAAACCCTCTTGACCCTGTGCTTCAGACACACCTGAAATGTCATCTCATCCTGGGACACCTCTGCAGATAGGGTTCGTGCAAGGCGACAAGGACCAAGGTGGGGGATTGTTGCATCCCTTGGCAGAGTGGTGCATTTTCCCATAAGACTGATCCCCATGCAGGTCTGCCTGGCTGGAAGAGCACCTCCGCCAGCCCATTGCTCCTCATTCCTCATAGGCTGAGTGCCGGTTACCTCAGACACACCCTGGGCAGACCAATATTTTGATCTGAGCCTCATAGACTCAGAACTGCATGGAGCTTCAAGATGATACCTCCCAGAACCAGAGAAATCAAGTTGCCCAAGTCACTCATTCATCATGGCACAGCCAGGAGCTGCATCCTGGCTTCCTGATTTCCAGCACGCTGCTCTGCAGAGGGCTGTGGAAGGCCTGGCTCACTTTTTGTGCCCGGGCTCAGCAAGGCTCACACTGCTGTGACTTGCTAGAGTTGATGTCCTAGTGACAAAAGACAAAAACAAAAAGCATCTCCCTTTCCTTTAAAAACATTTTTTGTCTTTGTTTGGAATGAGTTGGGAGGTGGCTCTGAATATGACCTGACATGGTGTTGGTTCTGGGTTTTAGGTGGGTGGTCCTGGACCACCAGGCACCAGACTGTTTAAGAGGGCAGTGGCCTCACAAGATGGGCCGGCCAAGAGCTGAGGATGAAAGGTGGGGAGACATGGATAAAGTAACACATTTCCTGAGGCTGTGAAAAAACTTAAACCTAAGGTAATAGCAATTTATTACTACTTTTGGGACCACATAGCTGGGTCCAGGGGCTCTGGCCACACCAGGTTCTACCTGGTTGCTTAGGGGCCATGGCGGTTGCCCTCTTGGCCTGGCTTTGAGTGTGCAGCTGTGGCACAGGGTTTGGGAAGCTCTGTCCTCAGTAACCTGTGGGTCGACCTTAGCAGCTGAATGACTCCATGGCATTCCCGCCTGGTGTAGCAACTGCTGCCCTCTCCTACTCTGACAAGCCTTTTAGGTGTCCCAGGGCATGTAGCTTCACACTGGGGCCGTTCAGGACCATTTCAGGGGCATGGTCTGTGCCCTTGAGGATTTCTGTTGCCCATGTTTTCACAGGCAAGAGTCCAACAATGCTTTCCTCCCATTGACTCAGAGAAGGAAGGAACAGTTATGAGCTGTAACGATTTGTGTGGAAGCGCTTTTTCTGGAGAGTCATGTCCCAAAGGACTCATGCCCCTACTGGCTTCTCACAAACAGAAAATGCCAACTCTTCTAATAACAAGGGTAAGAAATATTTAGTAAAAGAGCCCTACCAGTCAAATACAATTTTGAAGCTGACCGTAATTTCTTTGAAAGTATCGAAACAACCTCAAACCATATATAACATCTTTCAGGAGAAGAAAAAATGATCTAGCTGATCACACTGAAAGTCAGCCTTTACTCAAACAGGACCATTCCTATACCCTGTCCCCAAGCTCTCTTTCTCAGGCTTTGGACAGGTTTTACTATCTCCTGGAGGTACATCGATGCTGTCTTTGTATCACTTGCACTGTTCAACATATGGAGCACCTGGAACCTACCACTAAGACCCATTTGTCACCCCTTTCCAGATCCCTGGGTCCCCCATCCCTCCATCCTGCTGTGGGCAAACACACCCACACATCAGGGGGCCATTCCTTACTATGGCAGTGTGACTTTTTTGAAATGACACATTATATATTATTTCACTTTTTTAAGCATCCAATTCTACACGGTTATACTTTGGCCACAATTTGGTCATGTTTCTCTGTGTGCAAGTTGAGCTTTGCACCACTATGGCTGGTCATTTCCAGGGCCCGTGTGTGTGTTTGCGTGAGATGTGAATGCCTATGGGTGATAAATGGGGTGGTGTCTTTTTCTGTGATGCTGTATTTAGTTGACATTTTCAAAGATCATCCTATAACCTATTAGGGGCCTTGAATGTTAGAACTGGAAAGGCTTTTGAGACTGTCTAGCCCTCTCATTTTACAGAGGGGAACACTGAAGCTGAGAGATGGAGCGTTTTCCTGGAGCCCACGTAGCGATTGTCTCGCCTTCCAGCCCAAGACTTGTTTCCCTAAACCTTCCTTCTTATTAGGGATTTATTTTTGATCAGATAAGGTACTGCAGAATCCATTCTCTTTCCTTTGGGGCATTCGAGACAAACCCACAAGTCTTCCCGAGCCTTCCTGATCTATATCTACAGTGGGAAGTGAGGTGGGAGGGAGGTGAACAGAGTATAGGTGGAGGCCAGGTCCATGGGAACACATGCAGATAAACTATTTGAGAGTTCCAACTTTCTAATTGGCCAATTTTTAAAAGAAGGTGGGGTATGAGTCACTGTAACTCTGAGATAAGTGAGGCCTTAGCCCCAAAGTAAATGCTTTAAACTCTCTTCCTCCCCTCACTAGTTGGCCAGTGGACTTGCCTAGACCATGTTTGGT